ATATAGGTCCACATCAGTAAAAAAGTCTGGTCAGTGATTTCAGTGTAGGTGCAATTGTGAACACTATTTTGTGTGTGTGTGTGTGTCAAATACCTAATTAATTGTTATTCTTGATTTCAATGAATCAAGGTTATGTATATACAAAAAATAGTATAAATAAAAAGCTAACATAGAAGAAAACAAAAAATAAAGTCATCTCATGTAATCTAAAAGAAAGAAAGAAAAAATCATTTTGTTTCTTTCACACATTACTTTAAAAATTTTTTATTATTGTTATTCAAGTACAGTTGTCTCCATTTTCCCCCATCACCCCCACCCCCACCCCAGCCATCCTCCCCTCACACCCTGATCCTTCCCCATTTTGGCTTGTCCGTGTGTCCTTTTATATATGTTCCTCGATGACCCTCCACCTACTTTCCCCCTGTTATCCCCACCCACCTTCCCTCTGGTTATTGTCAGTTTGTGCTTTATTTCAGTGTCTCTGGTTATTTGATATAGCAACGAGAAAAATAAAGTACCTAGGAATAAACCTAACCAAGGAGGTAGAAGACCTACACTCAGAAAACTACACAACACTGAAGAAGGAAACTAAGGAAGATACAAACGAATGGAAACATGTACCATGTTCATGGATTGGAAGCATTAACATCATCAAAATGTCCATACTACCCAAAGCAATTTATAGATTCAGCACAATCCCTATTAAAATACCAATGAGATATTTCACAGATGCAGAACAAACATTTCAAAAATTTATATGGAACCATAAATGACCCTGAATAGCTGCAGTAATTTTGAGGAAGAAGAACAAAGTATCAGGGATCAGAGTCTCTGATATCAAACTATATTACAAGGCCACAGTAATTGAAACAGTCTGGTACTGGCATATGAACACTTTAATTCATGGTGGCATAAAGAGCACAGACATTTTCCTGGTGAACAGTCTCCCCATCACTGATTGGATTGAATATGTTTCTTCTCCTTATTTGGCCTTTCTCCCCTATCTGTGCAATAGAAAAGTCCAGAAATTAGTCAGAGGTCACAAACTGGTGACCAATGAACTGAAGGCAGCCAACAGACTGTTAGTTTGGTCAAGGCAGTGAGTTTTTCCTTTTGTTTCATCATGTTTGGATGACCTCAAACACCTTTAGGTAGGGCATGCACTCTCCTGGGGCCCCGCCACTCCACCCAACCACGGAGTTTCATCCAGACTCTGGTTTGTATTCCCTGCATGAGTCCTAAAAACATCTGAGTTTGTGACTCTAGGATTAGACATTTTGTTACGTTTCTTTATGCTTTTAAGATTGTAATTCGAAAAACCTCTTCAGAGAATGAATGCTCTTTTCCAGCCCGATTAGCAGAGATATGGACGGGCTGAAAGGAGAGTCAGACCAGGTAACAGGGCTGCCAGCTCTCAGACCATCTCTGTACGCCATCTCCTTTAGTCCCCAGTGCACCCCAGTGAGGCACATGTGCTCGATCCTATGTTCCAGGTGACAAAACAGGCTTGGAGAAGGTCACATCTTGCCCACAGTCAGAAAGCCCATGAATTGTGATAATTACATTCCAACCCAAACCTGTTTATTTTTAAAGCCTTCTCGCGCCATGATTCTGCTAACTGGGCAGAAACTGTCCACGTAGATCCCTTAGATAGAGAAGGTTTTCACAGGCTTTTGAAATACTGTCAAAGTCGAATATACAAAAGGTGTCCCAATAGCTCAAACTGTTTTACAAAATATTTTGTGTGCGTGCTGCTTCCTTTGACTAGTAGGGAACTGCCTTCATGCTGCCAAAGAGCCCCACAAAATTTAGAAATAATTATTATTGGAGGAAACTTAGCTTTCATTTACACATTGATATGATAGAAAAATCTGTCATGAATCACTGAAATTAAAAATGTAAAGAGATTTTACTTCTATCACATTTTTTCTTTGTTTTGTCACACAATATAGCTCTTTTGTGAGTTTGAATTTGTATAAAATATCATTAAAACTCCATGTTACTTAATCTGGAAGTAATACTTCTTGACTTATCTAGAAAGTTCACCTGACATAGAACAGTTCTGGTAAGGGAAAGTTCAGGTATGTCTGAATAAAAGAAGACAGTATTAATGTGATCATTAATTGAGTAGTAATGATCATTAACATGATCATTAATTTGGTCATGCAGTATTTTCAATTGAGTTTTTAAAACTTAAATCTGCCATAGAAAATAGAGTGAACAATGTTGTAGTAACTATCTATAATGCCAGGCAGACACTTTGTAACCAAACGAATGTCTATTTGTAGTGCTGGACACCTGACTAATTAACACAAAATAGTGTTGAATGCAAGCTGTGATAAAAAAAAAAGATGATAAAGAACAAAAAAAATACAAAGAGATCCAACAACAAAAAGGCAGAAACCCCACCTCCATGATTCCTCTCATTAGTCCTTTTCTGGCCAGATGTAAATGAAGTTAACAACAGTTTGAATTCAGTTGAGCTTTGCTTTGCTGTTAAATTTATTCAAAGAAAAAGGAATAGATTGCTTTTGAACACAAGTGTTCAAACACCCAAGCAACAATGGTGTTGACATTAGAGTCATTTAACTTTCCTTTACAACCTGAAGGGTAGACATAGATAATTTGGAATGATAATAGATGATAAAATTAAAACACCCAAATATAGTGGTATAAGCATAATTTTTGGAAATGTAGAGGCAAATGATCAGAATAATTGAAAAAGTGGGAAATGATTGACCCTGAAGAATAGGATTTAGGGTTGTTGTTTCATGACATAAGGGATTGCTATTGTTCTATGTAAACCTTGCAATACTATTTTTTAAAACTAAGTACAGATGATTAATGATAAGAATAAAGCCAATGAGGGTTGGCTAGGATTGGGTGTGGGAGGTGGGAGTGGATGGGGGGGAGAGTGGTGTGGGAAAATGGAGACAACTGTAGTCGAAAAACAAAAATAAATTAAAAATGATAAAAATAAAATTTTATTTACATTTAAAAAGTGAAGTCTGCTAATGTGAAGAGAAACTTTGTGTTTAGGAGGGTTTCCCTGTTGCATTGGGCACTGAACTGCTGCAGAATAAGCACGGTGACCAAGAAATGTCCAGAAGGAGCTGTCAATTTTTAAATAGGAAGAAAGAGACACACACACACACACACACACACACACACACACACACACACACACACAGAAATGGTACATTAAAAATAAATAAATAAACTAAAAAAGTAGCTATATGGGGCACCTTTTCATAATTTTAAAATTTAGGATTAACCAGCATCCTTCTAATTTGACCAAAATATTGCACCGATGACGTATATATTTTTTTTGCTCAGTGCTCACATTCATGGACAGATATTTTCTGCAAATGCAGAGCAAATTATCATAGGTATATTAAAGCAATTAGGCTGCTGAATTTCGCTGTCTGTGAATAAGACACAGGGTGGGGAGAGAGGCATAGAAACTGCTGCCCTTTTCAAGTAATTCACAAATGAGCTAATTATATGTCAGATATAAAAGTTGAGGCATTGTGACCTTCAAGTCAACAAAAGACCTTTCCAAGTAAGTCGTTTCCATGTACATTTACTAAAGTGAACAATGCCCTTCACAGTTAAATAATGTATGGCTGTTATTTCATTATATGTAAATGGAAACCAAGGAGTTGTTTTGCTGTTGACATGTAAACAAAAACTATAAATCCATTTAGTGACATTCTTCAATAACGATCCACAGATGGGTCTGCTGTTTGCTCCCACTGCATGCTGCTGACGTGTGGTTTCTCTGTAGCTAAATGTATTTTGGACTTGAGCAGTAAAAACTACACTGCGTTAAAGTAGACAATAATAATACTTTGCCCTGGCTGGTGTAGCTCGGTGCATTGAGCGAGGGCTGTGAACCAAAGGGTCGCCAGATGGATTTCCAGTCAGGGCACATGCCTGGATTGCGGACCAGGTCCCCAGTATGGGGTGTGGGAGAGGCGACCTCACATTGCTATTTCTCTTCTTTTCTTCCCATTTCTCTAAAAATGAATAAATAAAATCTTTAAAAATAAAATAAGTAAAGTAGGCAATAATTTTAAAAGACATTAAGTATGTTAGAGAAATGATTGTTAGAACAGCGAACTCCTAGTGGTGATAAAGACAGTGATGTGTTTTGCAGATCTTGGAAACACACCTGTGTACTACTCCTCTGCTACCAAGAAGAATGTCGATTACTTGAGGGTCAAAGAAAAGAAAAGAATCCCATACTCTTTCCCATGGCTCTTTCATGATATAAAGAAAGTATTTGTAAATGTTGAACTTAGGAAATGGACATAAAGTAATTATTTAAAAGAGCATCCATTTCACTGGAAGAATGGAAGTTTCAAAAGCAATAATGTATAAAGGAATTTGAGTGTCTCGAATGCTTGAATCAAGCAGGCTGCTGATGTCAAACAGTGCCCAGGAAGTTGTCCTGGAAAATCAAGAACAGGAAGAAGATTTAATTATCTTGTATTTGCCTGGCTTTATAGTGTATTTGATGCTGAATAAAACATAAATAAAGATATAGTGATTCTTAATTCAACTTAAGTAGGCATAATAAACCTCTGGGAAATAATAAACCAATTACAAACTTAAAATAAACCACAATCTTGTGAGATTCCAAGAACTTATTAGCATTCAATTCACAGATACATTTTTTCAGTCCCATAGGAAACTGTAATACTTAACATTTAATTTGGATTAGATGTTGGTACCATGAGATCGTATAGGGTTTACTGATTTAGTCATCAGTCGTTCCTTTTGTTTTAAACAATTTTATAGGGCCCTTTGTTGTTATTTATTTTAATAGATTCTCTGAATACTTATATCAAGCAGATACCACTGGCATCTTGGAGAGTGCGGGTGTTCATTACTGAGACTTTCAATGTGTGCATATATGTGCATGTTTAAAATAACAACTGTTTCTGCAATTCCTTGATAATCTGAAACAATTTTCATTATTTTGGATTATATTTAAGGTGGCAAATCTTGCTTGTTCTATGTCAACAAATGAAGATGGGATTAAAATTGTCAAAGTCGCTGCCAACCACCTGGAAACTTTGTGTCCACAGGTATGATGACTAAGTTACTGCGTCTTTCACTAAACCAGCTATAAAAATTATATATAATGCTTCAGACTTTAAATGCATAGAAAGATGTTTAAATATTTATTTTAAACACAAGAGATAACTTATCTGAAGGTCATGGCTTCTTCTTTATTAAGCACATGGTTCTTCTGACACTCCCTAAGGGCCCGCGCCAGAATCTTGTAAGAGGAAGGTATAGTTCGAAATGAAAGCAGTGCTTTGTCCAACAAATTTTATTTATTTTAGTCATTACTTATTTTGCAACTTCAAATATAATTAAAGCAATGATGTTTTTGCCCATTTTATCAAAAGAAGGCCCAGGTGTCAAAAAAGCCAAGAAATGTTTTCCTGTCTGCAATTCTGTTTTTGAAATCTGAAGAGAAACGCATCGTTAGGGAACTGTTTCCAGATGACTAGTAGTCTTGAAGCTGTGAATCAAGATACACACAAGGGCAATCTTGGTCACCTTGTCTTAGAAAAAGCAGGAAATAATATGGATGATTACTTCCTAAAAGGGACCACACATGTTACAAGGATGTGACATATGACAATGATTAGAGACTTCAAGTCTTTGGACCTCTGCTGAGATTCCCATTTTACTAAAAGTGTTAAATTCTTGATTTGCCTTGCTGACAATTTCATCTCTAAGAATATTGAGGGAATAGTAAAAGAGACTGTTTCTTTGGACTTATTATTGATTAACAAGTAAAAACTTGCTGCAGAAGTGGAATCTAGAGAATCTTCAACTGAGATCTTGCAACTGATGTCAGTTTTTCCTGAGGTCCTACAGGGAACAGAGTACTACAGTGAGGTCTCCAAGGGGTGGCGGGGGGGGAGCTGGACCACTTACGCTCCCCTCAGCAGTGCATGACAGATCTTTTTTCTCCACATAGTGACCAGCACTTGATGCTGTCATTTTTGAAAACGTCTTTTTGAATATGAGTAGAATTAAATGAATATTATTGGGTTTCCTTTATAATTCTCTGATTAAAAGGAGAACATTTTTTTCAAATGTTTATCAATCATGTGGCTTTCTAATACTGTGAATTGCCTAAACCTTTTGCCAATGTTTAGTTGTTTTTCAAAATATTTTTATTGCATTGCTTGGGTTTATTAAAAGTATCTTCTGTTGACTGTGGCTTTTCTTTTAACTTTAAAAGATAATATTTCATAGAGAATTTTAAGAACTTTAATGAAAATATAGGATCCACTTTTAATCTTTTAATAAATACTTACTGAGCACCTACCCTTTGCTACATGTCCATTGCTTGGTGCCTTGTTCAGAAATTCTTTCAACAAAAATGTTACATAATTTCTGGATTTTTAAACAGCTTAAAACATTTAGATCTTTATTTCTTCTGAAATTTGTTTTTGTTGGGATAGGAATCTATTTTATTTTATTTTTAGAGTATTAACCATTGGGCCATAATCATGTATTAAATATTTGATCTTTCCCAATTGATGTAAAATGCTGTCATTGCCACACATGTCCACATACATGCTTCACAAATTTTCCATTGGTTTTTATATATTTGTATACACATATATTCACACACCATATATAACACATGCATATATCTACATGCTTTATGTAACATTATATGTTTAGTACATATATCAAAGTGTGTAATATTTTACTATTATTTCACATATAAATATAGATGATGAGATAGATAGATGATAGATAAATGAAATGAAAGATGATAGGTAAATGAAACTTGTATTAATATATATGTTTCTGAGCTCAATATTCTGTTTCATTGTTCTATTTCTTTATTCCTGTAGCACAATGTCTTAAGGTATTATACTAAATTTAATATATTTTAGGCAAATTCGCTCACCTTTTAAAAAGTTATTGTTATTATTTTTGTTTTGCTCTTTCATATAACTTTCAGTATCCACTTGTCAATTTCCATAAAAATACATGTTAAGATATTTATTGAAAATTTTTATGTGCTTTAAATTTTAGACATAGAATATCCTTTTACTGACCCTTTTCATTAATAAATATGCTATATGAATTTCTTCAAACAGATCTCTTTTTTTGTCCTTCAAGGATTCCTTAGTTTTATGTTCTTTACTAAAATAAATTCCATGGCTACATGCTGATGGCTTCCAAATTTTTCTCCTTAGGGTAGACCTCTGCCTAACAACCAGCTTAAACATCTTGTTTTCCCCTGACAATTCCACTCTGATGTCTAGAGGACATCTGAATTCTAAAAAGAAAAAATGGATCTCTGGCGGTTCCTTCCCCCTCTCACTTTGCTGCTTCTTCAGTTGCCCCAATTTTACTGATAGCATGGCGTCCACCTTGCTGCTCTGGGGAAAACCCTGGAGAATCTCCTTTATTCACTCAGTGAATGTTTACTGAACATACAGCATGTCCTAAGCAGTATTTATGTGTCCGGAGAAATTTAGAAAGAAATCAAGCAACAAACGAAAATGCTTGCTCTTGGAAAGCTTATATTCTAATGATAACTAATGGTCATTTTTTTTCTAACTAATCCATTAGCAAGTCCTATCAAGTTCATCAAAAATATTTCTCTTGAGTCTATATACTTGTCTGTGAACATCTTAGCTTAGGTCACCATCATCTCTATCTTGGGCTACGAAAATATCATCCTGTATAGTATCCATGTTTATACTCCTCTCTCTAACCTACTTTCTGTATAAACACCAAAGTAAAATTATAAAAATGTATATCATATGAATTGCTTTTCATAGATTTTTACAGTAAAATGCAACATTTTTGTGCCTTAATGAGACTCTTAGACCTTCCCACTGTCTAACTTGCAGCCCCACTCCATGTGACTTTTCTTGTTAACCATTAGATCTCTGCACGTTGGCTTGTCTGTGTCCAGCACACAACAAGCGCCTTCCCCCCTGAGGAAGCTCGGCAGCTTCCCCAGGCTCTTTTCCCTTATGGCTGTGTGGACAGTTCCCATTATGGTCAATTTGTGAGGCCTCAGCTCACACAGCATCTTCTCCAAGATCAATCTGCTTAAATCACTCCTGCAGCTGTATCATGTTATGTCACTATATTTATTTCTTTTAGAGTCTCTAGCACAACCTGTAGTTATATTTTATATGATTTTGTTACTTTTTATTGTATATTTTTCACACTGAAACATAACCGTCAGGAAGGCAATGATTTAGTCTTCTTAATTCACCACTTATATCCCCTGGGCCTAGCAGAAAGGCAGCATATATTGGATGTTCAACAAATTTTTGTCCAAGATATAAATGAATGACAGGGATTTCAGAATAATAAGTTAGTCTATTCATAGAGAGCAGCAAGGCTTTTTGGCAACATCTTTGTAATGTTTTCCCTAACATCATCTGTCTTCTTTCTGACAACATAAAAATACAGTATAATTAGTTTGGATTGTAACTAGTGAAATTCTTAAAATGGCAGATTATAGTTGCTAGCCAATGGTGAGGCCGCTATTGGTGGGGTGCAATGATCTGCTCTTGACCTAGTTCATTTCAGTGTTTAATAGTGATTTGATAAAATTATAGAATAACATTGTTAAACTTTTTAGTTAAAAATAAGAGGATAAAGGAAACACATTAGCCAAAAGAATCCAGTCATAAACAATTTGGGTATTCTAGAATATAGACTAACTCTCAATATCCAGATGAGATACTATATTTGGTCATATAGTAAGGCTATATGGGTTATTTCATCACATAGTAAGTATTTCATCTGGATATTGATGGCTGCATAAAGCACATATATTAAGCACTCTAAAACAAATTTCAAAGATGCAGAATGGAAGAAATATGGCTTAGCAAAAATTTATGCTCCAAAAAGCTTGCAGGTTTTAGTTGATTGTAATTTCAATGTGAATGAAGAGTATGGTGTAGCTGTCATAAAAATGAACGGGATTTAAAATTTTTAATAAAAGAAAAAGTTCTAAACTTTATTTTCAATATTTTTATAATTAAACATTATTTTAAACACTTTATAACTTTTATACAGCACAGCCTGAATTTCAGAATTAGTATGTGTGGAGTGTACCCCGTATGTGTGTGCACACACATTTGTGTAAGTTCCAATGTTGTAATATGTATATTGAAATAAGGTGTGCACATGCATTTAGGTGTGCTAATTCCACCTCCAGACCTGTGTGGTACAAATGTGCACATGCGTATGCACAACAGTCTATAAGCAAGGTTTTCATGCAGCTTTAACTGTAATAACAAAAGCTAAGCCACCCTAAATGTCTGCTGGAAGTAAGTTGGCTCAATGTTATGTTTTGTTATGGAACATACCCAAGATAAGGGAAAAAGGCAAATTTCAGATGAATATGTATAGTATAACATACTTTGGAAAACGGGATAGATAGAGCCATATGTGTATGTAGTCATATAAAAGTTTTAAAAAGGCCCTCATGAGAGTTTTTTGAAGTGTTTAATGTGCAGATTTTATTGCTTTGAAATTTATGATTCCATTTATAGTATTTATACCATTATCATTTAATTCCTTTATAGTCCCCTGCCCTCCGGCAATTACCACCTCATTGTCCAGGAGTCCTTTTTGCTTTTTGCTTAATCCCTTCACTGCTACCCTCCCTTTGCCTTAGCTGTCCTGCTCTGTATCTATGAGTGTGCCTCTATTTTACTTGTTCATTCACTGTTCACTTTGTTCATTAGATTCCACATATGAGTGAAATCATATGGTATTTGTCTTTCTCTGATGGGCTCATTACACTTGGCATAATGTTCTCCAGGTCCATCCATATTGTCTCCAAGGGTAAAACTTTCTTCTATTTTATGGTTGAGTAGTATTCCATTCTGTAAATATCCCATAGTTGTTCTATCCACTCATTGACCATTCATTTATCCACTGATGGGCACTTAGGCTGCTTCCATATCTTGGCGATTGTAAATGATGCTGAGATGAACATAGGAGAGGTTATGTTCTTTTGAATTAGTGATTTGGGTTCCTTTGGATATATTCCAAGAAGTGGAATCACCGGGTG